TATAAATATCATTATGTTAATATAGAAGCAACTATGTTTTAAGTTTCACGTGATTTCTTTAATTTTGACAATTGTTTCGTCACACTGTGACTTCTTCAGAAACAATCAAATATACCCTCTTAAAATGAATAAGTCAAAAATAACTAATTATAAGTCATATTTGACTAATTGTCATAGCGAAAAAGCAGTCACTACTAATTATTCAAATTAGTAGATTTAAATTTAAAGTTTTGACCCAGCCGGGGATTGAACTCAGGTCTGTCACTTGTCAAGCTTGTCATATTGTTCATAACATTTTAAAGTTGAAAATATATATATATATATATAATATATATAATATATATATATATATATATATATATATATATATATATATATATATATATATATATATATATATATATATATATATATATATATATATATGTTGCTGTTTTGAGCTAAACTTTTTGCATCTTTCTTTGTATTTATGGGCCATTTAACCACAGAGTCTATATGCATTAAAAAAATTAGTTACTTTTAACTCTCAGAAATAGTCAAAGATGGTGACTAATCTTAAATTAGTCAAACTTTAACTATTTAAGTAGTAAAAAATGCTGGTACTATTTTAAATAGTAGAATTTTGACTATTTCATTTTAAGAGAGTACGGACATGTTATAATTCCATTTTAATTTTGTTTTAAAACTTTATTAAATTCCCCCAAATATTAAAATAAATCGAACCTAAATATCAATTTTAAAAGTATATACTAAATGTATATGCATTTTAAAATGAAAACATAGGTATTTTCTAATGAAAAAGATAAAAGATGATGTTTTAAGAAGCAAAGCAGTCTGCAAACATACATTAATACACAATCCACACATTGTGCATTAATAGTTATTTTTATAAAAAGTACCTAAAATCTTGTTTTGGGAACTATGCTCCACACATCAAAGTCCCGCCACGTGACATTAATAGAAATAATTAAGGTTCATTTTCGGTCAGTGTCAATCTAATTTTGTCCTATTTTCCAAAAATAATGCAATTTATATATTTTTGGGTATGAAGCTCTTAATTTTAGGTCCTTAAAAACATTCAAATTTCTTATTAGACAAAATATTTCTTAAAAATAGTGAGTAAAATATCGTCAAATTTATGAAAAGGAATAAAAAATGTACAGACTGTCTAAATTCAAAAAAAATATTTTTACATTTAATTTTATTTATTTATTTTTAAATATGTTTTGTTTATTTATATTTTTACGTACTCAGAAAAAACGCTAGCATAGCGTGAATGGGTGGGGTGAGCCATTAAACCAATGGGATCTTGTAATCCCTATTCCTGAATAACAGTTCTTATAATACCAATAGGTAGTTAGCACTTGGTTTATAATCGTTTACTGTTTTTAAATTAATAACAAAAGTTATCGCTCCTAAATCTATTGATATTCATATTGATATTTATTTGTTAGAATGTTAGAATGTTATTGCATTAAATACTAATTTGATTTATTTAATAACGTTACTATTGTATATATACTATGTATACATTTAACTTAATAAAATCCTTGACATTTAGGCAAAATATTTCCCTATTTTGGTTTAATAGTAATTAATTGAGCAAATAACAATTTAGATTGCTTAAATTTTAATGCATATAATGACAGCGCTGTTCTTGGTACTAGGTATGTTAGATTTTTTTCTGTGTATAGTTATAAGAATTCGGCACAGACAGTAGGAAATTTTTACAATGTGGGGTATAAATTTTGACATTTATATAATATATAATTCGCTATACAAATTACTACATTAACTTTAAAACATTTAAGAAATTTTGTTTAAGAAAATCAGAAAATGTTTCTATAATTTTCATGGAAAATTCCTTACCCATCAATAGCCATTATTTTATGAAAACATAATATTTTTTACCGTGAAAAATTAAAGAAATATTTACGTATTGTCTTGTTATTTTATTATTTTTTATTTTAATAAAATTTGTATTCAAAGAAAGGCTTTTAAGTGAAACATAATTAAGGTGAGGATTATGTAAAGTAATGTAATTTTAATTAAAACGCACAACACCTTTACGAAAGCACACGTCAGCAAATAAATATTTATTTTAATAAATAAGTAATAATCTTAAACGAGGGCGTTGAGTATTTAGAAATTACGTCATCAGGTGGCCTAGGTCTGGGCCTCCTTATATAGCCAGGACAGGTCCTTGCAACTCGGTCATTGAAAAAGTGGAAGCCTTTAGCAGCAGCCAGACACAATTGCCACTTTTCTCGGCAATTACATAAAACTAAAACTTTCGATAACAACAAAGTAAAATCCAGTGGCTTTCACAATCAATAAATAATTTTAACTTGAAATATACAAAGTGCTTAAGCAACAGTTTTCTTGAGGCGAATTATGTCAAATGACTGTTGGACAAAAGAGTATTTGAAAAAAAAAAACTTTACTAATGACTTCCAAAGGATGTTAAAAGTGCGTAATTTAAAACAAACATCGCATGAAACTAGGGAAATTGACATTTATTTCTTTAATTGGCAACACTGGCCCCGTCTTTCGCCGGCTGAGTCAGCGGATATGCGAGGCGCCGTTGTTTTTTAATTGACACGTATCATCGATTGATTGATTCGTAATTAGCGAACGCCCTGGGAGTAATGAATAAAATATTAAAACGTCTCAATACATCCAATTGCACGCGTTAATCGATTCCATTTTTTAGAATAGCATCCTTAATTAGGATTTTATCCCAGAAAGAGGATTTATATTATATATAAACTAATAAAGCAAACACAAAAAGATACCTATATAATTCCAATATACAGGGTGATTTTTGTAATAAAAAAAATTATTAAATTCTTTTGACAAACCAGGGAGCCACTTGATGTCACTGACCTATCCTATATATGGGTGAATCTACAAAAGTTGGACAACTTGATGTCATCAGTAGTAATTTTAATATTTTTTGTAAATATTTTAGTATATTACAAAAGATCCAGGTTTTTTTAACTTGTCCACCCAATTTTAATGTATATTTCGAAAGCACGTTTGTAGAAAAACATAATAAATATTCAAAACATCAGTACCTTGGCGTGTCACAACTCCTGAATCAAATATTTGATTCTATTTTAAAATATATTCAATTTATATTAAATTTTTCAATTTTACTACAAACTATTAAACATTAAATAATGTATTTTTCATATTTTATTATAGATCCGAATAAAGCAAATTTTAAAAAATTGATAATCTTTGTACTCACTTTTACCCGTCAGTTCTGTGTCCAATGTTAAAATTCAAAATTCCTGAGAAATATTGAAGTTTAAACGTCAAGTCCTCGTTTTAACTTATGTGTTGGTAAAAAATTACCTACGGGGCCCGCCCTTTGCACGACAGTCATCTTGAAAACAATGCAAGCGGCAAAGTTGTGGTGAATGCACATATAGTTCCAGTCAAAATTTCAGTACTGTTATTTTCTTACGTATATATATTTCATTGTAATTTATATAAGGCTATATGTGATTTGTTGATAAGTAGCATCCACTAATAAAAAATATCAGTAAAATACTTAATTCCGAATTATAATCTCAAATTTGTATCCCATTCATCAGTACCGTGTCGTCAGTTCCATGTTCGATCCTTTTTTCGCAAACTTCAATTTAAATTCTGTTTGCGCAGAACTTGTTTTTTTAATGTCATTATAAACTCATATAAATTTGGTATATATATATATATCTAATAATTGAGATATCGGTATACCCAAAATCCACCAGCCGCCACTGATGTGTGGTATTATTTGATTTTAAGATATTTAATGTATAATATGCTCAAAGTTGCAATAAATCTTATATTTTCCAATAAATTATGTATTTAATTAGTATCCTGGTATCCGCGTCACTTTCCTTGCATTCAAATTTAGAAAACACAGATATTTCAGAAACTGTTTGAAAAAGTGACTGGCCCGGTCTGGAACAGTATATTTATTATATTATCTATGTTCTCATAACAAAATACTGTTTAATTTTCTCCGAAAACTATATAAACAAAATGAGGTCAAAAGTTGCCTAACTTTTGTAGAATCGCCCATATGTATATATAGAATAAGGTAGTGTAGAAGTTGGGATAAAAATCTAAATAAAATATATAAAAGGTTATTGTTATTGAGCCCTGTTCCTGTTGGATAAAAATAAATAAATAAATAATTGGTTCATGGAATATTAAAAAGCCACTACCAATATTTGCACCTAATATAAATATATACATTCGGATTTTTTTAATTCGCCATGTAAAGGAAGGAATTAACAACACCCAATCAATTATGTTTGCTATTAAACTGTAAAGTCGTGATATGTTTTAAAGTTATTTTTAAACTTTTAATTAATCACGCAATTAAATTTATAAGAAAGAATGAACTGTTATGCCTGCATACATACTTAATTCAATAATTTATTAATGCTTTAAAAAATTATTTATGTATTTAGGTAGGTAAGTAATGCAAAATAAAAAATGTATTAGACGGTAATTGATTGTTTCTTTACAAGGTTAAATTGATAATGTTTAAACGTAATAAATATTAAATTACGTCTTCCATCAATGGTAGACTATCATAGTTATTGTATAAACTTGATTTGATTGTAGATAATATTTCAATCATAGAATGACAAATTTCCTTTGTTGTAACTTTGTATAGGTACTCATTTAATTAATTCAATATCTGTAATTCGATGCAAAACAGTGAATAAGAATAAGACAGTAAAGAACTAAGACAAGGATACGAATGTATTTTGCAACCTACTCGCCATATGGTTAGAGGCCGACTATTCACGACGAAATCATTTAAACTGATGGAATCTCTCGCTTTTTACTTGACTGGACAATAAACACTTGTCGTACCATTGTGTATATTCTTCTTGTTTGTTTATAATAATAGGTGGAGCACAAGCATGAATGCAATGCAATATATTTCACATTTAAATTCATAGATATAGACTAGAAAAAAAAGGACTCACCGAGTAATTTTCGCTCATGTCTTTCTTCTTGTATTTCGGCTCTACATCTCTTCCTTTATATTCCACGTATCTAGCTCTAAGACTTTCTTCTCTTACCATGGCCGGTGGTTGCTTCTCCTTCTTCTTTTTGCTATCCCTTGTGAACAACTGTTTCATCTAAAATTATAATTATAATTATTTATCATTAATTTTTGCGAATTAAGAGTTAAATTACCTTCTCCAAACTGCTCTTCTTCTCTGGCTTTGGTGGCTTTTTCTCAATCTTCTTCAAAGTAGACCTATCAAGATCCTTATCGATTCTAGGATCAAAATGACTTCCATCGTCTATACTTCTCTCCCTGGGTACGTAATCTTGCGATCTGTGCTTTGAAAGTATGATACTTTCTTCTTCTCTGGATAAGGCTCTATCAGAATCATATTCTTTCTTTTTTCTGCTGTTAATGCTGTCTTCAGTGTGTTGTCGTTCGCTGGCGATGAGTAGAGAACTTGCGAACCCTTCATCTTCGCTTTCGTTGCCGTAATCTCTTCTTCTTGGTGGACGAGTGACCCTGTAATTTTCCGAGGAGTCTCTTCTGAAATCGTTCTCTATACCGGAATCTCCGAATTTATCTTTGCGTTCGCTCTCGCTGTGGTCCAAATACCTTTCCGATCGGTATTTGGAGGAGTTTAACAAACTGTCGTCGTGTTTTTCCCTTTTCAGAGACTCGTGGTAAGAGTCGCGGTACCCGTTGGTGTAGTCCCTTTGGTGGTGTATTTCGGGGGTGGATTTGTAGTGATCGCGATCCTTAAAGATTTTCTGTTTTTCGCTTCTTACGTTGTATCTATTATGACTAGCTTCAAATTGCCTGTTTTCCGGGGAGGATCTGTAATCGCTAATCTGCGAGTCGAAGCTCTTCGGTTCGTTCTCGAAACTACTGTAATTATGGCCGTTGCGAATGTCTTTCGGATGATCACCGAAGTACTTCTTGCTGCGCGATTCCGTCGTGTATCGCTCGCCGTTCTTGTCGGTCTTAGTCTCGGACACGTACTTCTCCTTGTAACCCACTGGACTAGCAGAACCGCTCCTGTAATACTTCGAAGACGATTCCGAAACGTAAACGTTGGCGGGCTGACCGTTGTATTCGGGCGAGTGATTGGCGGAAATGTCGTTCAACCTCCGATTCATCCTCGATTCCAGAAGATCGCGTCTGGCGCTGAGATCGCTGCGCCCGTTCACGCCGTTTGAGGTAAATCCGTTCTCGAATGGTTCCGTGAGACTTTCGCGTCTCTTGGAATCCATCCCGTCGCCCCTTCCCCGCGACGAAGAGTCCATGTATCCCGTTTTTTCAACCCGCTGGAACGTGGTTCTATTTCTGTCGTAGCCGTTGTAGCCGTTAAGAAACGCCGGGTTCGTAAATCTCGGGGTAATAGGACTTTCTTCTTCGAATTTGTCGATTTCGTCGAAGAAATCGTCCGTACGTTTTCTACTGTTATGTCTATTGTTATTGTACCTGTCGCCGAAATGCGTTATTGGTTTTTCCGGTTCGTACTTTCTATTGAAACCTGTGTTTTCCTCGTACCCTAAACCTTCATCCGAATCCGAATGGGGCTGTTTTTTACCGTTCTGATAAGCAGTATGGATCGTTTGTTTTGTAGGGGCATTTGTGCCGTTTTTGCCGCAAACCACCTGAGCATAAATAATAGGACTGCTAGGATGCTGCAAATTTTCGTTGGACATGTACTTTTCCGGACTTATTCCTCTTGTGTAGGAAAATGGTTGACTGTGGCCGTGTTGGGCAGCCGAGCCCAAGATAAGGCTTGCTTTTGGTGGCGGTGAGGCCGAGTCAGTGCTTAAGCGTTTTACCATGGTGTCGACTGTGCGGCCTTTGGTTAAAGGTAATTTTTCCACTGGTTTTTGACTACTGTGAATCATCGTGGGGGATTTCTTGCCTGGATTTTCCAAACTCTCGATTGCCTTTTTAATTATTGGAGCTGTCGATACGGAACCCGAAGATAATTTCTCTTCAAGTTTCGGTTTTTCAGGGACAACGCTCTTCTTTTCTACGTTTTCCTCGACGTTCTTCTGATTATTTTTCTGGGCTTTTTTGTTTTTATTTTTGTCGTTCGTTGGCTTGCTTTTAGCTTCATTTGTTTTATTCTTCTTTAGCGTTAGATTCTTTAATTTCTTGCCAATGCTGTTTTTCCCTTTGTTGCTTGAGATTTTTTCCGCTTTATCCACATCGATTATTATCACTTCTGGCTGTTTTACTTCCTGTTTGGGCGGGGTCACTCTAACGCCAGTTTCTTTATAAATTTCCGCGTCTACTTCGTCGATGTACTGCTTTAATTTTTCAGTGACACTTTCACTTTTCCTGCCTTTTTTGCGCGCCGGTGCTCTAATATCCACGTTATCGTTATACTGGATGTTTTCTTTGTCGTCTGCTTTGGCGTTCGAAAAATAATCCTCCCGTTGCGTGACTTCTATGATAGGAGACAACTGCTTTTTATGGTAAGGAACGTTCAAAGGATCCTCGTTGTCGCTTCTCGGTCGGTTTCTAAACGGTTCATTATTCGCTCCATAAGCTACCGATTTCAAATTGGTCGCGTCACTTACACTTCTTCTTAAATTGGATTTTTTCGGTTTTTCCGCCTTTTTGAAAATATCAAAAATCGAGGTTTTCTGAGTGACGTGTGGTGTGCTTAGGGTAGCAAATGTTCTTGGAGGTTTTCTCGGGGGGATGGGCTCCGAAGAATTTCTTCGAACGCGTCTGTCTAAGGAAGCGGAAACGAATTCAGGCCTCTGTTTCTTTCGATTAGGGAGGGTGTAAAATTTGTCCGGACGAACGCCTGTAACAAATATTTACTGGTGATTACATGGGAAAAATTCTTTGACTTTAAAAAGAACGCCGCTCTTCCATATAGAGGTCTTAATTAAGGAGTACATTTTTAATGGCTGTTAACCACTTGATATTTTATCATTTAGCTGATTTATAGAATTACATTAAATAAACTGGAGGTCTGATAGGTGATTAAACTTAAAAGCATATTTGCACAATTAGGCAGGTATTGCGGTTTTTTACATAGGATTGCTAAATATTTAATTTTAAAAGAAATATAAAAACTTTATTATCGTTTATACCTAAAATGTATTGCAACACAGGCCTTGTTGGGAAATTGTTTTAAAATATTTCTACTATTTTTCATTGTTTTAAGTTACATAAGAAGACAAATATGTTAATCAAATAGACCTTGAAATACGATCCATAAATCAATCAAAAGCTTTGACGTTTTTGCAAAAAAAACTTAAGGCAATATTTATTTAGGCAAAATAAATGTAGGTACTGCTATTTTAATTTCAGTAATATTATACCGTTTTTTAACAATGCGTTCTTAACTTGTAATGTTTATTTGTATGAATAAATTACATAAAAAAAATTACAGCAACAATGGCAAGCACGTAAAGCATTTAAAATAAAAACGATATTTTAAAAACAATGCATTCGTAAAATGTATGCATATTTAGAGTTCAAAATCCTGTAACATACACTGCACATCAAAATTAACGCATAATAATTAAAAAATTCTAACTCTTAAACGCCTTTACCAATCTTTATGAAAATTTGTGTAAAATAGGGTTTTTCGAGAAAATATTTTGAAGGCCCTTTTATTTAATAATAAAAAACGTTTTAAGTAAATAAAAAATATGCTGTTAAAGACCGTTTTTTTGTTAGAATACCCTGAACATTTTGTACAAATCAAACGAACAGTAACGAAGATACAGCGCTTCAAAGTCGGTAAAAATAACCCCTTTTTGGTTATTTTGCTGAAAAGTGGTCAATTTTGACGACTTTGAAGCTCTGTATTTTCGTTACTGTTCTTTTGATTTATACAAAATTTTCAGGGTATACTAACAAAAATACGGTCTAACAGCATATTTTTTATTTACTTAAAAAAATTTCCTTAAAGTTATTTTTCGAACGTTTTTTTATTATTAAATAAAAGGGCTTTAAAAATATTTTCTCGAAAAACCCTTAAACACGTAAACTGAGATATAAGTATTTTTACACAAATTTTCATAAAGATTGGTAAAGGCGTTTTAGAGTTTTTTTTACCTATTATGCGTTAATTTTGACGGGCAGTGTATCTTTCGAGAATTTTGTTGCCGAATTAAGTTTAAACTTTATAACCAAAATGTTAAATGTGTAAACATCTGCTAATTTTGTAACATATGTAACAATTTTAAAAAATGCAAGGCCTACTATGTCAGTTTTTGAGAGTATATTTTTAGGAATAGGCGATTTAAAAAAATCTATGCACGGCACTGGATTCAACACCCCTCAAAACGACCCAATACTAAATTTTATTTAAAAATTTTAGGTTTTTTCACCAAATATAAAAATAAACAATAATAACTATTTACAAAAATTTATTCTGTCAAGTTACCATAAAAAAACATTAAAATAAAATTAAACTAATAGTAACATGGTATAAAATTTATATTTAATATTTCCATGCTTAGTTTTGACAAATAAAAAAAGCAATAGAAACTTAAAACAACAATTAAACAAAAAATAAATAATTCCAAAAATTCTTTGCCCCATAAATGGTGGATTAGTAGTCTATTAGATTTTCATCACCTCTAAGATCTAATTGTAAAAATTTTTGGAATTCCGGTTAAAACAGCACAATAAATAAAGATTTTACAGGGGTGAGTGGCAAACAAATGGGTCACACTGTATGTAAAAAATGCAAGGTGAGAATGTGGGAAGCAATGACAATTTTTATAATTACTATTTCAAAGATGTTCGTCCTGCTTGCGAAACATTATTCTAATAGGAGTCATATCCTTCTTCCATTAACTAAATAATATGCATTAAAACCCCGTACACGTGTATGATTTAATTATGAATACAGTTCATTCCAGTTTCCAATAACGCATGCAAATTCACGATCTGCGTAATATTTTCGGTTTTTTTTCTTCGTATTTCGCTGTGTAAGGTGAGGGATTCGGGCCCACACTTTTCTGTTTTTGTGACGATAATGCCAAACCGCCTACCACCTTTTACTGGTTTGCTATTTAAAGAAATCGCTTTTCTGGAGGTTTGTTTACGAAAAGTTTAGTTCAGTTTTTAAGGACGACGATCAACTGTTATTTTTGGAGATGAGTCAGTGTCCTAATTTTTGTTTTGGGCAAAGACGAATATATTCTGCGGAATATATTAGTGACTGTTAAACAATTATATACTGGGTGTCTCAACTTGGGCAAATATTTTATTCAGTATTGACTTGGTTGTTTTAAAAGTTTTTTTATTAATCAAACCACGAATAGTTCGCAATATTTAGATGAATTTATTCGAAAAATAAAAAACTTTTTTATAATAATTATTTAAATAATTTTAATTATTTATAGTTATAGGCCTACAATTGCAGTGAAAATTTTATAATATGTACTCTACTATTTATTTTCCTGTTCCAAAAAGAAAAAAGTTGTCATTTCTACACTGACATTTGAAATCGCATTATTTAACCAATCGCGCTGCTCGCGGCTAGAAAAATGCAATACTGACTGTGGAAACATTTTTTTTCTTTTTGGAACACGAAAATAAAAAAGTAGTCACGGGCTGAAGTTATCAACAGGTTTTTAGTCACGGGCTGAAGTAAGTTTTAAGTTAGTTGTCAGTTGTCAAATGTCATACAATCGTTAAATAAAGTGCCTTTCTTGTAAAATAATACTGAATGTAAAAATTATTTTATTATCTCAATACAAAAATACAAATAGTTTCTTGTCGCCAATATTTGAAAAGATTATACTGACCTTTTGATTTTGCCGTAGTAGTGCAGTTAACTAGATTTAACTGGTAGAGCTCTATCGTTAAAAATTTTGCGTACAGTGCCCATAAAACATTTTTTTTACTGTGAAAAACTGCTTTCATATCGATAAAGGAATAAATTTTGATTGATTTTGATTTACACAGAAAAATTTGAAATTCTAACGGGAATTCCAATAAATAAAACTGTCACTTTGTGTACCTTTAACATTTCCCGTGTAAGAATTTTTAATACTTTGTGATTATAGTAATAACATAAATCAAAGTATAGTAAATTTAAAAGGAAACGACGTACACGTCATCGATGACGTCATAATTTTGCGCATTTTAATGCATTTTAACCAAATTAAGTTGGCAGCAATTGCAATGTTGTCATGTTTAGATTAAAATTTTGCTTAACAAAATGAATCATAAAAAAGAAATTGACGTTTTGGAATTTCGAAGCTGTCATTTGTGTTTCATTTAATTCGTGTATAATTTCGTTTATTTTTTATGTTGTTTGTGTTATTTTATATCCTTTGTTTTTATTGCCGTTTTTGTGTTTGTTATATATCGTTTTTTTGTTTTTCCTATATTTAAAATGCCGAAGCATTTAATTAGTCCGAGTCAAGAGTTGGTATCATCCTTAATGCGCTATTTTGAGGCAGAACGGGACCTTTGTTACCTTAAACAGCTGTTAGAGAGGTAAATAGGATTATTATTAATTATATATTAGAAATTCTAATTTAGAATATTTAACAAAATATATGTTGGATACATAAAATAATAATATAAATACCAGAGACTGACTTTAGAATCTAAAGTTTAGATGGCAAAATTTCTGGGTTTTATAGCTGAAAACGTCTTTAAAAATGGCTAAAAACGTACTTTTGGCGGTGCATCAAATAGGTTATAAAACTCTGACTTTTGACATTTTGGTATTCTAAGGTCCCAAATCTAGGGAACCTATGGTATTATTCATGTAAACGATGATTTTAGCATCACATTGACAACCGTGCCCCATCAGCTGATTTATGACGTGTAAGTACGTCAGATAATCATATTTTGAAATTCGTTTAATATTTTAAAGCATTAATAATAATAAATAATATAAATTAAGATAATAACGGACAATTTAAATGGTGAAAATTACGTCAATAATGTCGCTTTATACAAATATTTAATTTAAATACTTTTTTTGTCAATATTAAGTATTTGTCGAAGAATCGTTTATAAACTTTTCTAGGCACTTATTTAATTAAACACTCGGTCGTAAGCTCACTCGTGCCTAAATTAAATTCGTGACCAAAATGGCGTTTATCAAACTTTATACATAATATACTATTAATAAATTCTCATTAAAAACCAAGTTATTTTGCAAATACACTCACAGGCAAAATAATCGATCCACACAAATTTTCGATGAATTTCAATCGCAAATAACTTTTTTATTTGATGTCGGATTTAAACGAATATTAAAGAATATTGTAGATAAATTAATGGACAATCGCTCACATTTTAAAAAAATACTTAAAAATAGACGCACGTTTATAAAATACAGGTTTAAACAAAAAGATGTTTTTTACTATAAGTTTAAGACACTCTGTAGAGTGGTAAAACCGTATATTGTTCTAAATTAAGTTTTATTTATCAAGTCACATCTATTCTTAATATATATATATAACAGTTTTGTTCTTGGTTCACCTCGATATATTTATTTTTGTAAAAAATATGGATTTAAAAAAAAAACATTGCAATTTCCAATATTTTTCTGTATAAAGTACTAAGGTTGCTATGGTCCATCCATAGGCTATGGAGAATGACAGTGACAGTTTTGTTGAATCATTCCATACTTGGACATGTCATACAAGGCTTTCAAAAGCTATAGCTTTTGAAAGCCTGATATATCAAATTGTTTTTTGCAAATTAATGTTCAAATTTTGAGATGTCTTCTTACTTTAAAAAATGGATATGTCTCCTAATGATGTTGCCAGAGCCATTAATTTAATCCAGGATGGACGGTCACAGAATTACGTGGCAAGTGTTTTAAACGTCACAAAAAGTAAAGTACAAAGGGCAACATCAGTCAGACATTTTTAAAAGTAAGAAGACACCTCAAAATTAACACATTAATTTACAAAAAACAATTTGATAGCTTTTGAAAGCTGTATATGACATGTCCAAGTATGGGATAATTCAACAAAACTGTCACTGTCATCCTCCTTAGGCTATGGATGGACCATAGCAACCTTAGTTCTTCATACAGGAAAAATATTGAAAATTGCAATGTTTTTTTTTAAAAATCCATATTTTCCACAAAAATAAATATATCAAGGTGAACCAAAAACAAAACTGTTAAAAATAGATGTGACTTAATAATTAAAACTTAATTTAGAACAATATACGGTTTTGCCACTCTACAGAGTGTCTTAAACTTATGGTAAAAAACATCTTTTTGTTTAAACCTGTATATTATAAACGTACGTGTATTTTTTAGTAATTTTTAAAATGTGAGCGATTCTCTATTAATGTATCTACAATATTCTTTAATATTTGTTTAAATCCGAAAACAAATAAAAAAGTTATTTGCGATTGAAATTCATCGAAAATTTGTGTGGATCGATTATTTTGCCTGTGAGTGTATTATTTTTCATATATATTCATTTTATAACTGTCAAAAACATTTTAATTTATACTTAAAGTCACTTTCCAAAAAATCAATAAAAATTTATTGACACATTTGACTTGATTTCACGTAATTTGACTACGTTTCAGTTGATATTTTTAGTTTAAAGTTAAATTTATTTTTAAATGTGTTAATTTATTTATAAAGATGGTAATCCTTAGTTTTATGTTGGGAATTTTGGTAGTTTTTCTTAATTTATGACATTGAAAGTATAAATAACAAAATAACAAAACAAAAAACTCTATTTTGTGTTCTCTTTTTCGTTTTTTTGTCAATAAGGTATTTTTTTATAAATTATAAAATGCCAAAACAAATAAATTGGCTAAAAATTCGGATTAATGTTTTTGAAAAAAAATAAAACAAAACTTTACAAATGATGGAGGATGGTTATTTGCAAATAATACATTATTCCCTATTATAACTAAAATATCGTAAAGTATTTTACCTGACTTATTGGTGACACAGTCGATCTTATCGGCCTGGTGGAGCACGCGTGCCGCCTCCTCGGCAAGTTCCTTTTTCGACTTCTTGAGCCTTTCCTTACGGACGGGCGAAGCCACCAGGTGACCCGCGCCGTCACCGCTCAGTGCTCCAACAATCCGCGCGCCCTCACGTGGCACTGAAATAAAGAAAAAAAATGTCAAATTACATTTTTCAAGGCATGTTCCGAGGTTCTATACTGGGGCCAGGCATTCGTTATGGTAAAAGAAATGCTTCCAATGTTAATATTTGGTTGATTGAATATGACATAATTTATTTATTAAAGAATACAAACACTTTTATAAAAATCAGATTTGTTAGCATAAGGTTGTAGTTTGTTAATTTTATTTTGTAAAATTTTAACATAATTTTTTGTAGAAAACTAGGGTTTGTAATTATTTTAACAAAGGAAAATATTTTACCGAAAGTTTTGTAAAGGCAATATGCATTTTGGTAATTTTAAAGGTTATCGATTATTTTTTAATGTTTAACAAATTATTTCGTTGAAAAGTTACACGTGATTTTAGGAAGTCAATCAAAACTTTTCCAACTGACAATACAATACAATATTAACAAGTTCGGATTCCTTATACCTATTTAATGAGTGTGCGAAGAATCCAAAAAAAGATACCATCACTGGTTTTTAAACTTAAATTAGGGGATACAGTAAAGTGGGTTAAAGTAACAAAATACATCGGTAAGGTGGTAATATTGATAATTATATTGCAAAAATTTCTTTATAATAATAATAATAATAATAATTTTTATTTTCAAATAATTGTTTACAGTTTACACACATATACAATTATGGAAAAAAAATGTCAAAAGCAAAGGATAAATGCATTGATAAACTAACAATTATTCATTGATCTATTTTGAAATTCTTTTAAACTATATGGTTCTATATTTATTAACAAATCTTTAAGCTTTTTTTAAATATTGACAATTTTGTTTCAATCTGAAGACATTTTGGCAAATGTTTAAAACATTTTATACATGCATAGTAACAACCTTTCTCATACTGACTCAAACGGTGGCGTGGAAATATTAGATTTTGGGTACGTTGCGAAGACATGTACAAATTAGAGAATAAATGCCTATTTCCAAACATAAATACCAACAATTCAAAAACATATAGACCAATCATAATTAAATTTTTTGTTGTTTAAAAACATTTCTACAAGATTCTTTAAAATTCATATTAAATATAGTTCTTATCACAGCTTTTTGTATCACGAATAAGTCCTGAACAGTTGGGCCTTGTCCCCAAAATATTATGCCATACCTTAATCTAGATTCAAAGTATGCGTAATACATCATTTTGATAGTTGGGATTTGAACATATTTTTTTATTCCTCTGATTGTGTAGTGAATATTATTTAATTTACTAGCCAGGCTCTGTAGATGTTTTGACCAGTTTAGGTGTTGATCAATCGTAAGTCCAAGGAATTTAGTGTCATGACGTTTTAATAATTGTATTATTTAGTGTAATTGTCTCTATATTCATCTGGTTTGACAACATGTTGCATTGTTTTAAACAAGATACAATTCGGTTTTGTTTCGTTTAAAATTAATTTATTATTGGAAAACCATCTACATATACCTGACATAACATTATGATTATAATTTGATGATTTCAGAATAATGTGTTATTCAATTTTAATTGTGTGTATGTTATTTTTGTTTAGGTAATTGATTAATAAAGCAAAATTTTTTAATAAATATCTTTTCATTTAAGTTCCAAATTTCCAACAAATACTTTTGTGACTGGGTCTACAAAAAGGTTTGTAAAAATAAGGTCCCTTTTGAAATTACAAGAATTATGGCTGATTTATGGACATAGGATTTTGTTATTTAATCTACAAAATGCTTGTATAATAACTACTTATTAAATTAGATAACAGATTACAGTTGGTTGTAAACTTAACATAAAGTTATGTGGACCTGGATTAACATAAAAACTGGTTAATATTTGGATAAAATTTACTGTGTACCAAGAAGAAAGTATAAAATAATCTATAATAATATTAAAGTAAAAATAGTAAAATATTATAAATAATTTTAAGGAAGTATAATTATACTGTTAAACCACACTATTTTCTTGTAGTTTTCAAACTAATACAGATGTGATTTATGATTATCGTAAAATTTATTTTTTGACACATTTATGAAGTAAGGTATCTATAATATACCGCAAGGTTCCAAATCAAACATGACCTATGACTTATGCTAAATGACATTTCCACAATGTCCCGAAAATGGCACACGAACGCCAACCATAATTTAAGGCAAGATTTAAGGTTTTGATTTTTTGACTTAAACTATTAGAAATTTATCTGTCAATTTACATTCGGATTGTAATACAGTTCATTTTTTTTATCTGGACTCGTGTTTTTTGTTAGGTTGGTGGCTTATGCCAGTTTGACTTAGTATTTTTACTATTTAAAAATAGTACTTCTGCTAAAGAATTTAATTAAATACTTTGACACTGTCAAATTGACAATAATATTTATTATTGATAATTTACTTGTCAATTATAAATAAAAAGATAATTATGCCAAAAATAATAGCAACGAATTCGAATGTAAAAGCCCTTTTAAGGGCAAAACTTCATTTTGATGAAATTATGCCAAATGCCACAATGGAAGAAAAAGTACATCGCCTAATGGACATTTTTGGAGTAAAAAAAATAACGAATTTGGTTTTATAAATATTACATCACACATTATTTTCACATTATTCCCCATTGGACAACATTTACGTTCACAATTTTTTTTTATTTCTTTTATATAAATTCTTTTCAAAGCGAAGATTATTATCCGCCAGGAATACCTTCTCTTCTGGGCCGTAAAGCAACCTATATTTAACTACTTTTTTATATGATTCCATCCAAGGACCACCAAAGCCAAATTAAATGCATTTTTAACTACGAATGTCGACAAATCAACTTGACAACTGCACAATGTAACCTACAATAATTTATACATATATGTTATAACCACAATTAGATTTATAACTCGTTTAGTTTGTTTAAATCAATGCGACCAATTTGACAACTGTATTTACCAACCAAAACCCTAAATTTGCCGCAGTCCAGATAAAAAAAATGAACTTTATGTTGTTTTTTTCGCTCACACAGCGTTGCCACGTTTATTTTAAACCTAAATGCTTAATAACTTAAAAATACTCCTAGTAGGGCGGCATTTTTGTGACACCCTGTATATTATCAATACATTTAACTAAATATTGTAAATATGTCAAGAAAACTTAAAATATTCCTTATTTTTAAGCCTTTGCAGATTAGCAATTAACCATTTAGCTCCTGATTAACATACGAATTCATTCATCATACTTAGGCAACGTTAAGAAGCATGTTCTGATTTTTTCTCCTCAAGCACGCTTATAATAAAATAAAAAGCCGCAAATTTAACGAGGTTTTGTCACGAAACGGGGAATAATTATCGAATTCCGCATTAAATAGAGACTAATTGACACAGACAGTGTGAATACATTTTAATTATTCCCATTTGAATTGTAAATAGGCAAAGATAAGTATATGCGACAGCATCTTCTAATGAAATAGGCAACAATTAATTAAATTACTCCGCAATATGTTCTTTGCCTAAGAAATTCTAAATAATTATGCATTATTTTAATCACCTGTTGTATAAGTACTCTAACGACATTAATTTTTTAGCTACGCTTATTATTCTGATTAAAATAACTAAGGAAAACAAATACCGTTTATTCTTTTAAATAAATGAACCAGAACAACTAAACTGTATATGAATATTAAAATATACGTTATTATAATAGTATAAGAAATACTCTATACGTAGTGCTTTTACCTTTAACAACATACATAAGTTATTTAAGTAATTCTTTCAGTTCTCAAACATAGCAAACGTTTATTTTAATTAAAAACGAAAGTACTTGATCTTTGTGAAGAGCTTATGATGTGGTGAAATATCTTAAAAATCAAGTTTTATAGATGCCATTTTAGTAACGAGTTTAATTAGGCACGAGCGAAGCTTGCGAGCGAGTGTTTAATAAAAACGAGGGTCCAGCGAAGTTTATAAAACGAGTTGCATAATATATATAGTACAAATAAAATTGGCTTTAAATTCTTCTTTGTGTTCGTCGTAGATAAAGTATGCTTTATCTACGACAAACACAAAGAAGAATTTAAAGCCAATTTTATTTGTTCAACATTTGACATCTGTCATTTGTTCAGTTATGTACTATTTTTTATCTCTTTTAAACCGCATAAAATATACCAAAAGTTATAGAAGATTGTGTTTATTACAGATATCAGTGGACTGTGAATTAGAATAACCTTAACACATCATTTAGGCACACCCTGTATAAACAATTAACTTCTTATAAAAACTGTCACCTACAGTAAATATCGACAAATTGTAAATTTGTTCATGGAAATTCCAAGGGTTATAGCTTTGTGCCTTGTTCTAGCTGACAAGCAAATATTTGATGGCTAATTATTTCTTTATGTACTAAATTTCATCTTATTGCTGGAAGTTTGCAGACCTTGGCCAATATAAATAGCCATGTCTATACGTATATGTATTTAGTAAACAAATAGATTTTTGTGAAATATTTCATTTAAAAATAAAAAAAAATAAAATATAGTTTATTTAGCCATGCTATTTATAATAATTTGTTTACTACTAATATATATTTTGTACATAAATGCGCAACATTTTCTTAAAGCTATTATAATTATCACAATACTTTATATCTTTTGGTAAATTATTGAAAAGTTTTAAACCATTGGAAAAAAACATTTTTTTGACTTCTACTATTTTTAATAAAAAGTCTTTGTTTTGTCTTGTTTCATACATATGAACAGTGTTTAAATAACAAACATCACAATACAAATATTCAGGTACTAATTTATGTTTAATTTTAAAAATTATATCCAAAGCTTTATAAGATGATCTTTGTTTAACACTCATAAAATCTAAAACATCTACCATTAACTTAATGGGTGTATATTTATTACATTTTAATATAGTACGTAATGCTCTATTTTGAATTATTTGTAGTTAAGACAGTTCACGTTTAGGTTAAAAAGGACTGTCGAACAAAACTCGATAGGTGGTGAAAACAGAGACTTATACA